TTGTAAATAGGATATCATGTCCGCTTCTTGTACAGCAATTAACCACTAGGAAGAATGTATGCAATGTGTTAATTATTGAAACTGTCCTACCAACTTGGTTTGAAACTGTCTCATTGCTATTTGTTTCTCAATAAAATTATGGGGGAAAAAAGTTGTTTAAAAAACTAATCATAATAATAAAATTTTAAAAGATCAATAGAAAAAGAAAAAAATTACTGTATTAAAATTATAGCTAAAAGAAAACCATTCTTTTCTCCTTGGTGACAAATGGCCTTTGTTAATTAGGTCTCCCAGTTTGTGTGCTGGCCACATTTGGCAAAGTCTAGTCCTCACCAAGAATAGTAACAACCTGCTCCGAATGGCAATCAAGCAGTAAATCTATTTTTGGCTCTGATGTTTGAGACTCCAAATGCTAGGTGCCATAAAACTGAACCTTAAATGGTGTAAGCAAACTGGCATACTACTAAAATACAGAATGTAAAGATTTGGAGCCCTCCAAAACACCTATTTCTTTATTTCAAAGCAAGAAAATGTCTTAGGGCTAGCAGGATAATTCCTATCTAATACTGATATGAAAAACCAAATGTATCTTAGAATGAAATAATAGAGAAAGGTGGAACAGAATAGTATAATTTCTTTCTTTTCTTTTCTTTTCTTTTTCTTTTTCAGAACTGGGGATTGAACTCAGGCCCTTATGCTTGCCAGGGAAGCACTTATTCCACTGAGCCATCTCTCCAGCCCCTAGAATAGTATAATTTCAGTGTTTGTCCCTAACATTACTTTAAATTTCCTTTTCTCTCAGTGTTTCTGGTTTTTACTGTTAATATCTATGTGACTCACCTGTCTCTGAGTGTGCTGAGGCCCACATAAGGATAGAGGTTCTCCTTAAGCTTTCCTTTGATGAGTAGGTCCAGGGTCTCATGCAGGAAAGGCTGATGCTGTGTATACACATTTTCTACTCCCTAAAACAGGAGAAAATGGTTTTATGTCATTTTGAACTATATTCATAAATTAGAAAAGGTTATACATTCAGTAGAAACTCAAACAGCAATTTAGGATATATGAAAATATATAAAAATTTATGAAAAATGTTCTAACTTCATAAAAACACAATTTCACACTAGTTTTTTGTTTTGTGTTTTTAATGCAGGGTTCCACTATGCAGTTCAGGCTGGCTTTGAACTTGCAGCAATCTCTGTGCCTTCGCCTCCAAAGCACTGGGATTACAGGCATGCACCGCCATGTATGGCCAGGTGGCTAGCTATAAAACTACAATAGTTTAAATCTTTATCATGTATTCACTGAGTCTCACTTATCTGTGAAAATGGTACATGACAGATAAAGCAAAGAAAGCTTGTGTAGAAAGGGGATTTTAAGCAACAAAGAGCCTGGCATAAAGATGCATGCCTGTGACCCCAGCCCTCAGGGGACTGAGGCATCCACTATGAGGCCAGCCTGGGCTCCATGGTGAGTTCAAGGCCAGTCTGAACTACACACAAGACCCTGTCTCAAAAAACAAAACACAAGAAAGTGGAAGCATTTCAGGGACCGCGAGAGGTTAGCACATTAAAATTAATTTTTTGACCATTAAAAAAGTAGGTTATTATTTTAAAAGATCAAAAAATATTTATTTTCTCTTTAATTTTCAAAAACAAAGTATTTAGGGGCCTGGGAGATGGCTCAGTAGGATAAATGCTTGACTGGCAAACACAAGGATCTGAGTTCAATCCCCGGTTCTGCCAAAAAAAAAAAGTATTTAAATCTTCAATTATAAACAAATGGAGAAAACTAAGTATAACTAATGAAATTGTTCTGCCCTTCAGTACTTCCTGCAAACGTCTCCAGTTCTTTACTTGCTTGGCTCTTTGCTCCAGTGCTGATAGTGGTCCAACACCGAGACCAATAAGAAAAAACACTAACGAGGACATCTGCTTTAATTTCATTTAATTGACATAGTACTAAACCAGCAGCAATCCTGAATGTACTCTGAAGATCGTGTTTATTCAGGCTCTGCCTTAGGAGCTTTAACTATTTCTTACACAGGGGAGCAGAGAGATGTCTATACCTTCAAGCCCTTGAGGAACTGTTTGGTTATAGCCACGGCATCTTTGGGGCTGAAGAGATCACTTCCTCTAACCCGTTTGCCACCATATTCAACAACTGCAGACACGAGCTATAAAAATAAAGGGAGGGGGAGATAGTTTTTTATTGCTTAGAGATCAAAAACTTTGTTTCATAAACAGTAACTTTATTAAAGAAATGACATAAAAAGGGAATCACACATTACTGTACATTTAAAAGTATGACTTATGATTTATTAGATGGAAGACTATAACAGAATTGGTTGTTTGCTGGGGTTAATATATCAATTGGGTACCTTCCGATATTTCTCCGAAACGCCTTTGTTCCTGAGGTCCACTATAAGGCCGGGCAGGCTGTTGCTGCTGTGTCGCTCATAATGTAAAGCATAAAGCATCACTAGGCGGGCAGCATCCAACTCTGTTACTCTGGGATTCTGCAGGAGCCTCTTCACATTCTGAAGAAAGAGAAAGCTGATATTTACCACTCCTTACTTGAGCAATGTGTATAATGCCTTAGACATAATTATTTTTTTGGGCGGAACCGGGGATTGAACTCAGATCCTTGCGTTTGCAGTCAAGTGCTTATCCTACTGAGCCATTTCCCTGGCCCCTAAGACATAATTATTAAGTGGTAGTGATACATCTGAGTTCATGATTAAGATAACTACTCTGACAACATACAAGCCATTATCTGCCTTTTGCCCACAATAAGAATTAAATAAGGAAATATATTCCTGTTGGGATTACCTTAGGAAAAGAGTGAAATTACTAATGGATAGGTTTTCTTTTTCCTTTTTAAACAGCCTAAGCTGTCATCTCCTTGTTAAAATAACATATTTTTTTCTCACTACTTCAGTCAATACAGCAAAACATAGTTGGTCTGCAAAACTTTCCTGCTTGCTTTTAGTGTAGTGATTGAACACTGAAATAGAGACAAATTGGTAGAATTTTGCATAGGACTGGACTTAGTCTCCAGGAAGCATCAGAAATAATTTCTTGACAGTCAACAGAGATATGTGTGTAATAGCATGTAATCTCTAAACAGAGCATTTATAATCTTAAAATGTTTGTACTGACAGCAAAGGGAGCCATGGTAAATCTTGTTTAATTTTGTCATCCTCACATTAAGGACCTTCTGTATACTATAGTATAGCGCACATGGTATTATTCAGTGAACAATTCATTTAATTCAAACCAATAGATACATCAGATCTCCATGTGCTCTAGCACAGGCACTGCTGGAGAAATACAGTTACAGCCAACCTCTGTCCTCAGCAAGCTCAGAGACAGTGGAGCAAAGATGGATGGGATGTGCGTGGCACACCCTGATGAAGTGCCCTAGCTCTAGGAGACTGGTAGGCATTGAGACAGTGTTGGTGCAGTGCAGAAGGTATACTGATTCATATGTAATTTTTCCAGCATGGGTAAATTTCCCCATGATTAAAGAGGAAGCTTTATGAATATATGAATGAAGAAATAAAAAATCCCACAACAGCATTTCCTGAAGGAAGTGCTCAGTTCTACAACCTGCAAAGCTGCTGTACTTTCCATACCTTAAGCTCCGGGGGAATAGGCAACCACAAATGAGACAGAAGCAACAACATTTCATTATTTTAAAAATGAAAACAAAACAACCACAGTGCTGGGGATTGAGCCCAAGGCCTGGGTATGCTAAGCAAGTGTTCCAACACTAAGCTACACCCTCAGTCCTCTCTTTTCCTCTTCCCCCCCTTTTTTTTTTAGTAGTTTAGGTTGTTGTTTCCCTGTTGAAATAAGGACCAGATACTATGTCCACTACCTTCAATCAATATAGCATGTGTGTACACACACACACACACACACACACACACAATACAGCACACAACAGTACTGCCAGGAGAGATTTATTGTGCCACTACTTTATTAGGATTCTTTTTTTTTTTTTGTATTTTAGGACAGGGTCTAGATGGTCTACAGGGTCTCACTATGTAGATCAGACTTGCAATCTGCCTGTGTTCAGCCTTCCAAAAGCTGGGATTACAGGCGTGCACCACCATGCCGTCTCTATTTCCATCTCAGCACACCAGGGGGGTGGGGCCAGCACAGCACCGGGCATTGAACCTGGCCACTGTGTCTGCATAAACAGGTGCTTTAATCTGCTGAGCTATTTGGCCAGCCCTAGGATTACTTTTTAAAATATAGATATTTTTATCAGTTTCTGCATTCTATTTTAAAAAGCAAAGATGAATAGAACAGTTTTTATTACAAGGTCCTTCAATTCAATGTAATTAGACATTTATTGACATAATAGAAAATCATGAAAATAATTCCATATTAGGATTACTTTTATTAGTGGCCTGATTACAAAGTTATATAGATTTTTTTATTTTACAGGTTTTTATTTATTTTTGTTTTGTTTGGGAACAGCTCTCTCTATATAGTTCTGGCTGGCCTTGAACTCACAAGGATTCTCCTGTCTCAGCGTTCCCAGGGCTGGGGATTAAAGGTGAGTGCCTCAGAGCCTGGCTAGCTGTACAGACTGTAAGTGGTCTACTTATTATCCCTACTTTCCTACAGTTTTTATTTCTTTTTAATGTATGACTTTGTAGAACATGAAGCTCTTTTCAAGAACAAATATGTGCTATTCACATATGTATACAAAAACAAAAATATAAACATAATTGGTGCAACAGGGAGACAAAAAAAGGAGAAATTATAACTAGTTGCTGAGGAATCAGGAAAGATTTCACAAGAGGAAACACTTACAAAAGGCCTCAAAGAATCAATAAAGGGCTGGGGAGATAGCTTGGTGGTCTAAGTGCCTGCCTGGCAAATGCAATGACCTGGGTTCTATCCTTGGTACTGCATGCCATACCCACCCCCGAATCCAGGTGCACGATGCGACCTGAAACGAAACCGGGTATGGTGGTGCACATCTATAATCCCAGTGCTGGGGAGGCTGAGACAGGAAGATCACTATAAGTCTGAATTGTGTAGCAAGATCTTATATCAACAAAACAAAACAAAACAAAACAAATCATACAAAAAAAGAATCAATAAAGTTGGAATTAGTATAGAGACTGAAAACAGTGCCATTATCTACAGAAATATGAAAGTCAAAGAAAGAAATAGGAAAGTGGCAAAAGCATATAACTACCACCTATAGTGCTTTACAATTTCTAAGACACTGTCACTTACATTATCTCAGTACCTCACAGCAACCCTGTTGTTCTGCCCAGAAAGAAGAGGGACTGAGATGGTATGGGGAACCTCTGAGGTAGAGTTCAAGTACAGATTTCTCTTAGAGGAATTCCTGTTGCTGCTTTTCTAGTTTAAAATTTCATTACCAATGTGCATAAGAGAACATAAAGGAAGATGCGTTTCATTTAGCACCCACATTCATAAGAATTTTCTTAATTTTCATTTTGTAGAAACTTTCCACATAGGGGGCCCAGGGAGATAGCTCAATAGAATAGGAGCTTGCCTGGCAAGCACAAGGGCCTGAGTTCAATTCCTGGTTCTACAAAAAAAAAAAAAAAAAAAAAAAAAAAAAAAGAAGAAACTTTCCACATAGGAATGAGGGAGCAGTCTATTTAGAATACATGTTCAAATGTTTCACTATTTTTTGTTTTAGCAGAATGTGAGGAAAATATTTTATGATACAACTTATTTACCACATACACATATATAATTGCATCTCTGTTAATTTGGTGCAAGTTTAAAACACAGAAGAGTTGTGTAGTGAGACCCTGTAGACCTTGTCCAAAATACAGACAAAAAACAAACAAACAAACCAAAAAAACACTTAAAGAAATCCCATCTGCGGTCTCTGTTGTCACTTTTCTTCCAGGGATAACATTTCACTTCCTGTCCTGTAGACATGTTACTTTCACCTCTAATCCAGCCTGTCTGACCTGCATTTCCCCCCACCCCCATCTTTTTGAGACAGGGTCTCAGGTTGGCCTTGAGTTCACTTTGTAGCTCAGGCTGGACTCAAACTCAAAAACAATCCTCCTGTCTCAACCTCCCTAGTGCTGAGATTACAGGTGTATGCCACTATGTCTTGCTTGACCTGTACTTTTTTTTTTTTTTAACCTGTACTTTTAAGCAAATCTGAGACAGCTAAGCAATGATAAACCCACAACAGTAGTGTGGAAATAGTCAATGACAACTTGCAGTGAAGCGTTTGCCCTCTTTCTGCTTGTTTCTGTTCTAATTATCTTCACTTGGATCTTGATTCAGTTTCACATCCAAGAATTCATTCTTATTTTTTGAGATTTGGAACTGGTTTTCAGGTATTCTGGCTTAACTCAGCACTCCTTTGAGGACTCAGCCCAGATCTGACCCTAGGATTACTTCAAGTAGACCATTTTTGTCTACTTTTGAGCTTTTGGAACCTAATTCATGGTATGGGTCCATTTCTGAAGACTTATCTATTCCCTCATGAAAAAGAACCTGAAGGCATAAGATGAGCTCTTTTTTTCCTTTTCAGCTACAGTATATCAATCCTTAGAAAAGATCTATCAATCCTTTTCTGCTTTATTTCTACATTATCTCTTGACTTCATTATGAATTATTTCCCTTTGGCTACTTGACTCACAACTGATCAGTGGTGGCACACTATAGGCTAAGATTCCAGGGCACTAACCAGAAAAGAGAAGAGAAAGAATCAGAGGCATCTAAAGGCTTCTAATTATACAGCAGGTATATATTATGTGACAGCATTTATTTTATGGAAATAAACCTGATTCTTTGGGTTTTTATTTTTAATTTAATTGTTGCCTTTTGGAGACAGATTTCACTATGAAGTTTAGGCTGGCCTTGAACTCTCTGTAGTCCACCCTGGCCTTGAACTCACAGTGAACGTCTTGTCTCAGACTCTTCAGTGCTGAGATTATAGACGTGCACCACCACATCTGGCCACTGGGTTCTTTTTATTAAAATTTTATAACCCTACAACTATCAAGAGAGAAAAGCAAACTATTATATAACCAGGACGGATGAATGAACAGCAAAGCAGAAAACTATTACCTACTTAAGACTGGATTAAAAAACTTTGTGCTTTTTTTGGAGGTTAACTTTCTAAAAGAAACTAACATTTACTCAGAAGAGATCAGAGAAAAAAGAATTCTAATATTTATAGATTCTTCCATTGTTTCTGGCTACTATGACAGAGCAGTAGAGCAAGAAAAAAATTTAAGACACATCTACATTTTTAAACTATTACATAAATTACAGATCAACTCAGTAATCAAAGAGAGCCTCCATTTCTTTTCTTTTCACTTTCATTTAACCTAAAATGCAGAATTACCTTATATATCTGTGTAATGAACAGTCAGTGAATAACAGATCAACTGATTAGGATAGCAAGATGGAACTGGCATAAGTGTTCAACATGCTGATCTCATGCAAATGAACCTAACTGAACAGCCTGAAAGAATAGTGTTGTGGGCCTAGAATGAGCTATCTAGGAAAATGATAAAAGTAGATAGGACTCAATTTCACTGATTGTACACCTCAGTCAGTACTGTACTTTTTTGTTGTTTTTGTTAATCACTAGCCCACACATAATTCAGCACTGTAGGAGATCTTCTGGTTAACACTGTTTCTGAAATACTGGCTAAGTGGTATATAGAGATAAAGTAATTTTTACTCTTAATTGATCAAAACAGTCCAATTTGTTCCAAGCAGTTTTTAAAACAAGATTTTGATGAGAAAAACTGGGAGACATTCAAGGCTATCAGTGGACAAAAACTAGGTTCTAGATGTCATAAAGTAGAAATGTCCAAACAATTGAAGCATAATATACCTAATGGTGACAGTTAATGTTTGTTGCGAGTTTTAAGTAGCTGGTACCATCTTAGGAACTTCACAGGTATCTCACTGTACCCTCATGACATCTCTGAAGCAAGTTTTGTTATTTTTTCACATTTTACAAACAAAAGGTCTGGGGATATGAGTGGTTAAAAATTATTTTCAATGGGGCCGAGGAAATAGATCAGTGGCATAAGCACCTGCCTGGCAAGTACAAGGTCTGGAGTTGAATCTCAGGTATCAAAGAAGAGAGAGAGAGAGAGAGAGAGAGAGAGAGAGAGAGAGAGAGA